ACAGAGCTGGAGAGGAAAGCAATGGTGGAATCAGAGCCAGGGAAAACGGACTTCCTCTCCTCACTCTCGTCCCCTTGCGATAAAGAGAGTAAAAATGAGCTTCATAGACCTTCTCTTCAGAGTCCACGAGATTTGCAAGAAATATGACAAGTACGATGTCGACAAGCAGCGCCGGCAAAATACCTACGGAGACGATGCCTTCGCTCGCCACTACGTTCTCATGGAAGAAGACATCGTTAAGACTCTCCAGGTTAGAATTCTTTTTTCCTGGTCTGGATTTCATCTGTTTTGATTCTTGTTTGGTTGCTCGGAAATCGCAGAAAATTTGAAAATGTAGCTTTCGATGTATGCGTTTTTATGTTGTGACAAGCCTTTTCTAGTTCGAAATTTCATTTTAAGAAGCAAAGGAAATGGGAAATGTAAGGTTTATCTTATTTTCAGAATGCGATTTTTTGCAGAAAGCTGAGGTGGCTTCAGTTGAGAAAAACAGGGCCGCTGCTGTGTCGCTGAGCGCTGAGGTGCGTCAACTCAAGGCTCGATTGATGGAAGACATTCCTAAGCTGCAGAAATTGGCTCAAAAGAAGGTCCATTTAATAAACTTTGTGCTTCCATAAATTTTTTTTTTTTTTTTTCATAATTTGGACATAAAAATCTTTTAAGAGTCAAAATTGCCAATTCCATTTTTCTATGTGGTTAGAGACAGAAACTATTTAGCGTATTTACTTGCATTTGACAAGGTGGATGCATTATGCTCTTAATTTTTTGTCCTGTTTGGATATTGACAACATGCTTGGCAAGAATTGGATGTGTGTAACATATGAGTTTGGTCTTGATTTCTTCTCCATTTTGAATTGCATCTGTCCTGAATCTGACATTACTTAGATCAATTAAGTTGAAAGTTGAATCGTATGAAAAATCCTATTTTCTACTAAGTACAGGTCAAGGGGCTCTCGAAAGAAGAACAAGAAACTCGTGTGGATCTGGTTTTTGCACTATTAGAGAAGATTAAAGAAATTGATAATGGGACCATGTCTGCATCCAAGCAAACTGGTGGATTAGGAGTTTCATCATCTAACAAAAATATTTTATTTGACACATCTGGTAATTTGTATTATTTGTTCTTTCTTGAGTCACAGTTATTGCCATTATGATCCTTATTTGACTATTTATCTCCACTTCATTGTCTGGCTACACCATCAGATGGAGACTTTGACAATAATTTTTTTGAGCAAACTGAAGAATCAAGTCAGTTTAGACAGGAATATGAAATGCGGAAAATGAAACAGGCATGTAAGATTGCTGATAATTCTTATTAATTTCTTTAATAGTTCTTCCTGTACTCTTAAAGGGGATAAGATAGATAATTTGTTTACAGTATCTATTTGCTGAGTACTTGCATTCTAATGTGATTCTACTTGATATGTGCACAGGATCAAGGTCTTGATGTTATATCAGAAGGATTAGATACACTTCAAAATTTGGCTCTA